GGCAGGTTAAAACAAGGCTGATAATATGCTTTAAGGTTTCGTCAAAGGTCAACATGACTAAAAAATTATTTTTACAAGAGCTCGAAAACTATGTAAGGTATAAAGTCAAAACGTTTACAGTTTATAAATATATCATTGAATGATAGATAAAAAGTATCGCTTGATAACAAACTTTTTTCAAAATATATTTTTTGAGAAAAATTGTATCAGAAAATGTGCATATTTAAAGAAAAATGCACCTGCTTCATTATGTCTTTTTTGTGAAAACCATTATTGCAGAAATAATATATGTTTATCATTGAAGGGCAAGTTGGATGTGAATGGTCTCTGAAAGGCTGTTATTGAAAGCATGACATGTATAAAGACAAGACCCCTATAAAATACGTCATTTGCATTGTACTTTCACTTTCAAGTCTTAACATTTGGACAAAATAAACAGGGAAAACAACTTTCTAGAGGTTATCCAAGTCCAACTTGCCCTTCATTGATAAACATATTTTGTTTCTGCAATAATGGTTTTCACTAAAAGCGCGGAATTAATTAGGTGTATTTTTAAAAAAAAAATATATGCATTTTTACGAAGAATTTTTCTCAATAGATATTTTTTTCCAAGTATTTTTTATCAAGTGATACTTTCTATCTATTAATCAGTGATATATTTATAAACTGTAAGAGTTTTAACTTTATACCCCACATAGTTTTGGGGCTATTGTAAAAATAAATTGTTGGACATGTTGACCTTTGACGAAACCTTAACAGAAATTGTTTGTTATTGTGTTTGGCTAATGCATCACACGGGAAGTTCTATTTAATTTTTTTTTTTTGAAAAACACCAAATATTTATAAAAAAGCAAAACTACCAAGCACAAAATAGTATATATATATAGGTGTCAAAAATATCGTAATATGTGCTGATGTTATATGTTGATATACATGTTAACCAAAACCAAGAAATGCCATTTAATACGAGCTCCATGCGTACATGTATACATAAGATTTCGACGATTTTCCTGTCTAATGATGTCTAAATGAAAATCTAGAAGATCTTAAAAAAATACCTCATGTGCTTGTAAAATTTCCTTTTTTCAGTATAAACAGCCACCTTGTCCAGAAATTGTACATTTATTAGACCACAATTCTTTCTAGTTTTTCTCCAGGTTAGCATCGAAGGAATTGCCAATTCCTGCTTTTTTCGGAAAGAACACGTAATATTTGAGTGATGAAGATCATCAATTTATTTAAAATGGCAAAGGGTAGGTTGCGATCATTTTAATTGTCTTCCTTCGAAAATTTTCTTGACAAATTTTATCAAATTTGACTCTTAGATTTTGCCTGAAATGTAAGCGTTTGACCAAGTCTCTCTGTTAAGTTGTCCGGTAAAACAGCCAGATATCTTCTGAACATTTTCGGAATCTCAACCACCCGAAAATAGACTTGACAGGCGAGGGTTCATGTCAATATGTAATGCATGGAATATACTTATATGTACAGGTAAATGGACTTCTTTTCACTCGATGTCCAATTTGGCTATGTTCGATTAGAATACTGTTTTTCTTTTTAAGCTACCGAACAATTTAATACCGTATAACAGACCTGTTTACCCATAACGCTGTCTCTCAGTATTTTTTTATTAGATTTGTCATTTGCCAGTAAGATTTCACTTTCCATCAATTTTACATATATTAAATAAAAGAGAAAAACTGCTTTTCTGATTACAAAAACATGGTTAAACAACAAGGTCTTTGTCTTTTCATAATACCAAAGCGTTTTGGCAACCTGACATTGCTTCTGTGTTTTAAATCTTCCTCTTATTTAGCGATAAATAGGGTGAAGCTAAGACAGATCATAACGAAAACTAACTGTTAAATTCCAAACTAACGTATTTCTGATTTCCGTATTTTCATAATGGCAAAACGTGAGACGTATTTTAGACTAAAAATCCATACAAAATACGGTGAAATCGTAAGAGTAAACAGGTCTGGTATAAGTAGAATTTTTAGCGAGGATTTCATTTTGGCATTGTTAGCAATGGTGTTGGCATCGCTAAAATTGAATATCGCTAAAAATTAATTGCGTATGATTTGTAATAACTTCTTTAATTAGCATTTTAAAGTCGCTAAAATTACCTCTCGCTAAAAATAAAATACACTGTACCAGATTTTAGGTAGAAATCGCTAAATTTGCGTCTCGCTAAAATTTCCACTTATACCGAATATGCATATTTCGCATTGTTGATATGATTGCCTTGACACAATCCAAATGTCACGCATTTATTCCCCCAATACCTCAATATCATAAAAAATATAATTAACAAGATAAATTCAGGCTCACGTCTTCCACTTATCAAATATTTTCAGTTGTTAATGAGTGTATGACTAATTAACAATTAAGAATTGTAATTAAATGAAAGACACTGAGGTTTATTTAATATAAGGAAAGGTGATCAAAGCGCCATTAATGTTATTCTCAATAATGAGCCCAACAAATGGAGAACCATTTATTTAAGTTAATCAGACTTTTCAATGAATCGTCTGCGTCTACTCCAAGGTTCGGAGTTTTTGTTGAAAAAAATGTTGTAGACCTCTTGATGCTAAGAAATGGTCTTTTTCGGTTAGCTGGGGGTCTTTTTGCTTTAAGATAAATACACAAAGCTGTATGGAAGATTTTTTCTTTTAGACGCAGAGCTAGATGGAAGAGCATAAGACGCAGGGCTAGATGCATATGGGAGAGCATAAGACGCAGAGCTAGGTGCAAGAGCATGAGACGCAGAATAGATGGAAGATCAAAAGACGCAGAATTTGAAGGACCATGCGTAAGGGCAGAAAGGCCAATCTAGATTGTAGATTGAGAGGAAATAGCGGAAGACACCGGTGACTGAGTCCAATACTTTTGATTTTACGATTTTTGTTTTCGTCTGTCTGCCTGTCCATGTGTCTGTAACACTTTGATTTCTGCACTTGTTTCTAAGCTCTAGCAGATACAATGCAGCTGATTTTTGGAAAGTAAGAGTACTTTAAATAGTTACAGATCAAGCTTTGATTTTGTCCACAGCAATGTTTCCGCTTCGGAGATTTTTGAGTGAGGAACAGAATGTCTTTGGATAAAGGTCTTGGATAAAATTTCTTGCTCTTGACTTAGATTAGTCGCGGTAGTGACTTGAGCACTCAACCTTCAAGTGGTGTTCGTGATTTGATCGGAAGGTCTTATGTTCGAATCACGGTCGCGACTGAACCTGGGCCTTAGACCATATACCGAGAACAGGGTTAAGTTAAGTAAAAATTTCAAATAAATATCATTTGTTTAATTTTACACCCTACAAATTCTTGGTAACGAATCTGTTATAATTAACAAGCTATTCAAAATCAAAATTTTGACAAGTCTATTCTCAGTTTAAGGTCCCCAGGCCTGGTCGATAAAAGTCCCTTCGCCAAGCACTCAGGCATTTTTAATAGAAAGTCGCGGGTCCTTCGGATGAGACCTTAAACACCGATGCTTTGTTTTGCGATAGGTGGTAGCACAATGAAACACGAGGCCAAGGGGCCACATCGCTCACCTGAGCAACTGGCTAGGTAAAATAAAAAATCAGTTTAGTATTGACAAGTTTAAATATAAAAGTGGTTTCAGGGGAGAGAAGGGGATAATTGAACCAACTTAAATAATTACATACTTCATAGTATATACAAATACCTTTATGGTCTAAATATGACCAAACATGGCTTTGCTGTTCTTGAAAAGATTTTAAAGATTTTTCCTATGTACTCCTATTTTAAACTTTGATACCCACAGTAGCCCCACCCTCCCCCCGGGGGTTATAATTTAAACAACTTGAACCTACCCTACCTGAGGATGCTTCCACATGAGTTTCATCTTTCCTGGCCCATTGGTTTTTGAGATATTTTTGAAATATAATCCTATATATTCCTAAATTAAATTTGACCCCCCTTTGTGGTCCCACCCTACCCCTGGGGGTAATGACTTGAACAGACTTGAATCTACACTACCTGAGGATGCTTTCACACGAGTTTCATCATCCCTGGCACAGTTGTTCTTTAGAAGATTTTTTAAAAGATGCCATTTATTTTTCACTTGTCCATAAGTCTCTCCCCTTGGAAGAGGGCATGACCCTTCTTTGAACAAACTTCAATCCCCTTTGCCCAAGAATAATTTGTTGCAAGTTTGGTTTAAATTGGCCCAGTGGTTCCAAGATGAAAATGAGAAAAGTTTACAACGACAAAGATAGACAACGGACAAATTTTGATCAGAAAAGCTCACTTGAGCCTTCGGCTCGGGTGAGAAAAAAAAACCTCATTGCTCAATGGCCCTGAGTGCCAAGTCAAGTTTTAAATTTGAAGCCCTTCACCTGTGACGTCTCTTTATTAGTGAAAAAATCTCGAACATGGCGTGAAACAATCGATCTTTCTCAAAAAAGAATAACGAAAAAAAAACCAATAAAACTGCAGTGGTCAATGAAAACAAATCCAAGAAAATAACCTATAAATGTGACAGGAAAGGATATTACTATTATTATAGAATAAATGTATGTATTTCTGTGGTTATAAGAATTTACACGAAAGCAGGTGACAGATAAGATATTACTTTTATTATAAATTATGCATCTCTATGGTTATATAAGAAATCAACATACAGATATGTAAATACAGATATTATACTAAGTAAACATAAAACAGATGATGATCGTGACAAAAATATTAAAGAAAAGTGTAGGTGTGTTTTTATGGATTTTGGACGTCTCGTCGTCTTTTAACATATGAATAAAATTGCACTGACACTTACAGTGTTGATTATTATTCATGATATAGCTAAACAGTTTGTTATTAATATTTCCTCTGAATTCTGAATATACCAAAATTAATGTCACCAAACATAGTTTTTCATTTATTGTATTTAAATGACGCTCAAGTAAGAGAAATTAGAATTTAAGTGAAATAAATAATGAGCTCTACAGAAGAAAGAATAAAACTACTTTAAACACACATTACCTTGAGATGTAGGAGAAGATGCTGGTGTTGTCTTTGTGGTAGTTGATTCTAAGGCTCTGGTTGTTGAAGTTGTCTCCGTTTCGGATGGTGTTGGTGAAGTGTTCTCTGCTGTTGCTCTCTGGGATGTTGTTAATACACTGGCTGTTGTTGTAGCAGTAGCTGATACTAACGTTGTTGACTGAGTGGTTCTTTCGGTTGTTGTTGATACAGTAGTTGATTGTATGGTACTTGCAGTTGTTGTTGACTCAGTGACCACTGTCGGTGTGGTCTCGGTGTTTCCTGACGTTGAATCTGATATGAATGAAATACGACTAAGAGAAATAGCAGTAATGAACAACAATTAATGAAAATGCAGTATCCAGCATAAAATTAATGTTCTCAATGAAACATCACTATTCAAATTCCTTTCGTTTAAACCAAGCAGATGGGGGGATAAGGCGGACGAAGTGCCCATAGTGCGGCAGATAAGTGGAAAATTTAATCTCGATTATATCCATATTTTATTTGATATTTCATCTAATATCAAAGGATACTTAATGTAAAATCCCTACAATTTACAAAAATCTCACAATGACTGAAAATATTTGCCTATGAAAAAGCATACACACACTAAAAAGAACAAAAACGATCATTTTCTCATACTTTCAGTAGAAGTGGGCCTTCGCTTCATTTTTTTTGAAAGATAATCCTAAATGTTTGCAATAAAGTAAACATTTTTGGTTTACAAAAATACCCACTATACCTTGAAAGTACACTTTAATGATAAAACATTCCCATCTTTCCGAGAAATACTTCAAGTCCATTAAGTCAAGGGTCATATCGCAAACATGATTTAAATGTCAAAATTCATCATGAGCAATGTAGCATAATGGATAGCGCGTCAGTCTCAAAGCAGTATGATAGTCATACGTCGGATTTTTGTGCAACCTAATAGAAGAAGGGAGGGCATATTGCTCTGCTGCTGTCTGTCGGTCCACTTAGTTTCCGTTCATTTTCTTCACAACCGTTGCACAGACTGAAATGAAATTTGGTATACAGATATATCAGATAAACATCTAGGTCAAGTTCTGTTTTGGGTCCGGTCGCACCATTTTTGATAGAGTTATGCCCCATGTACTTAGAAAAATTTCAATCATTTGCAGTTTCCGTTCATTTTCTTCGCAGAGGCTGCACATACTGAAATCAAATTTGGAATACAGATATATCAGATAACTAACTAAGGTCAAGTTCTGTTTTTGGGTATGATCGCACCATTTTTGACAGAGTTATGCCCCTTGGACGTATAAAAATTCGAATTATTTGCAGTTTCCATTCAATTTCTTCGCAGATGTTGCACATACATGTACTGAAATAAAATTTAGTAAATAGATTTATCAGATAACTATCTAGGCCAAGTTCTGTTTTGGATACGATCGCGCCAATTTTGATTGAGTTGTGCCCTTTTGGATTTTGAAAAATTCCAATTTGGGGGAAGGGGGCATAAGTGTTTTACAAACATCTCTTGTTATTGCTAGGGTTCGAATCCCACAAATATCCTCTTATATTTTTATAACAGAATTTTTTTTACGAGATTTTTTTTTTCTCAGAAAAGGTTTTTCTACGGTGGTATATTTAGGACACGCAATTATTTTTTTCTTAAATACCAGAAAAAAATTATCTCGTGAAAACGACATAATTATCTTGTGAAAACGAGATATTATCTTGTGAAAACGACTTATTATCTTGTGAAAACGAGATATTATCTTGTGAAAACTAGAAAATATCTTGTGAAAACGAGATATTATCTTGTGAAAACGACTTATTATATTATGTCGTTTTCACAAGATAATAAGTCGTTTTCACAAGATAATAAGTCGTTTTCACAAGATAATAAGTCGTTTTCACAAGATAATATCTCGTTTTCACAAGATAATATCTCGTTTTCACAAGATAATTATCTCGTTTTCACAAGATAATATCTCGTTTACACAAGATATTATCTCGTTTTCACACGATAATATCTCGTTTTCACAAGATAATGTCTCGTTTTCACAAGATAATTATCTCGTTTTCACAAGATAATATCTCGTTTTCACAAGATATTATCTCGTTTTCACAAGATAATATCTCGTTTTCACAAGATATTATCTCGTTTTCACAAGATAATATCTCGTTTTCACAAGATATTATCTCGTTTTCACAAGATAATATCTCGTTTTCACAAGATAATATCTCGTTTTCACAAGATAATTTCTCGTTTTCACAAGATATCTCGTTTTCACAAGATAATTTTTTTCTGGTATTTAAAAAAAAATAATTGCATGTCCTAAATATACCACCGTATTTTTCTCCCTCATAATTTCATAAATTTTAATAATGGGAAGTTAATTTAAATACTCAATTCACATTTTGAATATGGTTTAATAATATCAGACGCTATAGGCATTCTGCCCGCCTTGTTCCCCCATCTTCTTTGTTTTTCTGTGGAGGATTTCAAGTGTAATTCTTCAAAATATTAATACATTTATAATTTAAAAAATTCAAATTGTGTAATAATGATAATAATTTCTTTTATTTAGACAGGATAGCACAATTAGTACATATTACAAGTTTACATTGTGGTCCTGTATAAAACATATTTATAGACAGAAAAAAAAAATTAAGTAGAAAAAAGAGTAAAAAGAATTTATACATAGAATATTACATCAGACAGATTTGTAAATAAACTACATGTATTTAAAGAAAATCATTGTGTCATAAGATAAAATTCATTTAAGAACCGTACCAGCAATGTATTTCAAAGATTCAAATTAAACTTTTTTTACCTTGACTTACAATAGCTCTAAACCCACGTGCTTGATAGTCATTGTCAGATTTAAATTCCAGAAACAATGCTCCCGAGGTCCTATACGTCAAATTTGGAGATATAACAGGAGAATTAACTGGATATCCCTGGCATATTTTAGTAATTTCGCTCCCATTCATGTCACCTAAGATAATGAGATTAATATGAATAAAATAATGAAAAAAATTATTTTTATATCCACAAATTTTCCTGATAATAAAAAATATTTTTATCAAGCTAGGAGAGAAAGTAGTTGATGTTAGATGCACAAATGAGTTCTCTTAAGAAGTCTTTTAATTTATCAAATAATCTTGCGATTTTACCATAAACGTGATTTTTTTTTACTCATATCGTGAAGCCATCACTTGTCGGTGGAGTGCTGCAAATTTAGACCTGTATCCTACTCCGCGACTCTCCAGTCATTGTGCTACACTTTATCATAGTGAAGATAATGAACAATGATAATTCTTCAGAAAATCTACAACTTATTCATATCTGGGAACATGGCATAAAACCCAAAGGTTAGATCAGATTAGGAGTAGTAACAGTAAACCCGTAAGTATTTATCAGATAAACCGGATATTCCGCAGTGAAATTCATCGATTTAATGATGTCATAGTTGGCTTCTTTTCTATAGGATATAATATAATTCAAAAACGCAAGGACTAGAGGCTTGGAGAAGAGCCATGGAATTGAATTGAGACACAATTTTGGAGTCAGATTTTTGTAACATGAAAGGAAAAAGATGTTGAAGAAATTACATTTATAGTATAACAGTTTTCTGTTGTTTTTTCATACTTGGTGGCTGCATTGTGTCTTAAGCTTGAACTAAATAGATTTGGAAATCATACTACGACTTAATTGAAATTTTTAAGTTTCTTACAGCAATGAATGTATTCGAAACTATAACATCAGTATAGTGAAAAGACAGACTTGATAGTGACAAGATAATCCCTGTTCTTTCAAAACATTTGGAAACTGTTGAACAAAATGAATCAATAGATACATGTATAGTCGGTCGTACTGGCTGTTTTAATACAATGTAATTGAATGTGTTAAAACTTGTCAAGAGCTAAAACGTTTGGAGTTTATAGCAAGTTTTTCAATAGAATTATACTCACTTAAAGGGGCAGCCATGGACACAGTTTAAGCTAGATTTTTTTTCCTTTTTACAAATATTTCTAATGATCATCAAAAATTTGAACGTCAGCTATCGAGACAGATTTAGAGCGCCAAACCTTTGTTTGTCTGTGTCATGTTTCTGTTTACACAGTTTCATATACTAATTATATTTGTTCATTCAAAGTAGAGAATTTCAAATAAAAGTTAATTTTAAATACGATTGGACAGTTACTATTGATTGCTGAATTTCACTTTGTTATAAATATGATATTTTCTATATGTAAACAAAAACAAGGCACGAGCCTTGTTTAGATTATGAAGAACTTTAAGTTCTTGTTTGTTAATCAATAAATGATTTCCAATAGATGATGTCATAGTAGGAATGGAATTTTAAACATTAAAATTGGTTTTAAAAATTCAGTTGAAACTGTATCATGCCCCTTTAAGGACATTGGCAAGGGTACCAAACATGTTTAATTCTGGTTCGTTTAACCCACCAAGCCAGCTTTCCTTTTTTAAATTGTGTTGAATCAATGTGATCACAATTCTCAATGCATTTCCTATGTAAAATGTTGATAAAAATGACTTTCATTATTTTTAACCAAACTATTTCTCTATATAACCCATTTATTTTATAGATCTTTTGAATAAAGTACATTGTTGTATCCTTATTTACGATGACATGTATATATTTTGGATGAAAATGCAAATGCTGTACATGTATAGAATTAAGCACTGTTATTTAATTTTGAGTTACTTCCCTTAACAACTAATTATTATTCATAATGATCTAGAGTTTCTATCATGTAGTTTACGTTATTGGAAACAAATTGTCATAAATATTTTTTGCATGGATTTCATATAACTTTTATTCGTAGTTACTAAACGATGCCTTCTGTTCTCATCCGGTTACCAAGCGTAGTTCACCACTTTCAGCATATGTCGCATGTTTGTCCCTCCCAGCATAGCTATGGTAAACTATAGGTACTGTGAGCAATGAGCTCAATAAATGATACCCCCGCCTCCCATAATGTCCATGTCTTGCTATATATTGTTTTACGGTAATGTGTAAAGAGGAATAACTCGTCCTATCAAATGTTATCCAGAAGCTTCTATATGTGACGTCATATGTAAACATATAATGGCAATGTTCATGTTTTGCTAAGAGAAACCTAAAATACGTGTCGAATAAAAAGTAAAATAGGAGGTGCACAATGGCAATATGTAATAAAGATTCTGTGAAAGTTTCATTAAATTTCACTCAGTAGTATAAGAGGAGTTGCAGATAAAAGATAAAGCGTAACAAACGGACGGACGGAAATACTGATTACTATATACCCTCCCACTTTTCGAGCGGGGGGTTTAATGAAGACCTGTTTACTGTCTGCCTCTAGTTTACACAATGCACAACAATGCCATCACTGCTTTTGTTTCTTGCTGAATAATTGATTATAACCACACGTGTTTTTGTTTACATGTAATATACGCTTTATATATTTCCAACGCTTAGAAAATTCCAAACGGGAGATCACTCTCAATGACTGTTTTCATTAATGAAAAAACCTATGTATCAAACTTTTTTTTTCTCCGGAAACCTTGCCTTGCCAATGACCTTAATCACTAGAGAATATGTAAAATAAAAAAAAATAGAGGAACTGTGAGCAATGAGCTCACTAAACGATACCCCCGCCTCCCATAATGTCCATGTTGCTATTGTTTTACGGTAATGTGTAAAGAGGAATAACTCGTCCTATCAAATGTTATCCAGAAGCTTCTATATTTGACGTCATAGGATATAAATATAGTTTATAACGGCAATGTTCATGTTTTGCTATGGGAAACCTAAATGCGTGTCGAAAACAAAAGTAAAATAAGAGGTTCACAATTGCAATTTGTAATAAAGATTCTGTGAAAGTTTAATTGAATTTCACTCAGTAGTATAAGAGGAGTTGCGGATAAGAGATGGGTACCCAAAATCGTAACAGACGGACGTACAGACGGACAGAAATACCGATTACAATATACCCTCCCACTTTTCAGGGGTTATGATAATAGATTTAAAATAAGTTAGAAGTAAATCAAAAATAAGTGAGAATATTGGTCTCGTTGGGTATACTAATGCACTTTTCAATTGGATGTGTACAGCCAACTCGTGCCAATATTCACCTATTTCAGTTCAATATACCTTTAACATTTCTGTAAAAAAAAAATGAAATTATAATAGTGGTATGCAATTTTGTCCATCGAAGTCAGTCCGTAGCTCAAAAAGCTTTTGAACTTATGCAATGAAATTTGAAACGACAACTTCCTATTGCTTACGAAAGAAGCCTATTGATTTTTAGGGCAAAGGTCATTTCAGGTTATTTAATTATTGTTTTTTGCGCTTTTGGCGGAAAGATAATTCAAGTATATCGCTAAATTCTTAAAAAATGATACATGAAAAAGAATATCAAAAAATGCGCTAAATCAAATCCATGCTAACTTGTTTGAAAATAACTGTCCGCTTAATATCGTACACGCTAAATATAATACATTTACAGTAGTTGACAGCTTAAGGAGGCTGGTGGGTCAACAAATTAATCCCAAATTAACCACCAGATTTAACATTTTTTTTTAGATACGGTATCTTTAGCTGTCAACTTTCATTTGACAAAGAAAAAATTCATACATTTTAGTTTTTAAATTTGATCATTTTTGTATATCTTTATATGGAACTCTCCTTTTAAAGGAGGTTGAAATAGTCTAAAAATGGCTGCCACCCCCAGCCTCTTTAAGATATCATATCTAAACAAGAGGCCCATGGGCCACATCGCTCACCTGAGCACTGTGGCTAAGAATAAAATAGAAATTGGTTTATTATTGAAAAGTTTAAATCCAAAGTAAACCAGTTATGGCTTTACTATTCTTGAGAAGATGATTTGTAAAGAATTTTCCTATATATTTCTATGTAACACTTTGGTTGGCCATTGTGGCCCCGCCCTGCCCCCGGGGGTCATGATTTTAACAAACTTGAATAAGCACTACCTGAGGATGCTTCCATATAAATATGATCAATTATGGCTTTGTTTTTCTTGAGAAGATTTTTAAGGAATTTTACTATATATATATTTCTATGTAAAATTTTGGTTGATCATTGTGGCCCCGCCCTACCTCCGGGGGTCATGATTTGAACAAACTTGAATCTACACTCCCGTAGGATGCTTCCATATAAATATGATCAATTATGGCTTTGTTTTTCTTGAGAAGATTTTTTTAGAGAATTTTCCTATATATTTCTATATAAAACTTTGGTCGATCATTGTGGCCCCGGGGGTCATGATTAGAACAAACTTGAATCTACACTACCTGAGGATGTTTCCTTATAAATATGATCAATTATGGCTTTGCTATTCTCGAGAAAAAGATTTTTAAAGAATTTTCCTATATATTTCTATGTAAAACTTGGTCTGCCATTGTGGCCCCGCCCTACCCCTAAGGGTCATAATTTGAACAAACTTGAATCTACACTACCTTAGGATGTTTTCCCATAAGTGTCATCTTTCCTGGCACAGTGGTTCTTGAGAAGGTGATTTTTAAAAGATACCACCAAATTTCAATTAATTCCTAATTATCTCCCCATGAATTAGGGCGTGGTCCTTCATTTTAACAAACTTGAATCCCCTTCACTTAAGGATGCTTTGTGGCAAGTTTGGTTGAAATTGGCCAAGCGGTTCGTGAGTCGAAAATGTAAAAAGTTTACAACGTCAACGACGACAACGACAGACAACGAACAAATTGTGATCAGAAAAGCTCACTTGAGCCTTTGGCTCAGGTGAGCTAAAGAAATAAGTTAGATCTGATGGTTAATTTGTTGACCACCCCCAGTCTCCTTAAACTTCAAATAGGCCTAACACTTACTTGTACGACTATATCTATTGATTAATTACGTTCAATATTTTCCAAACATTTTTAAACAGGGATTATCTTGTAACTATCAAGTCTGTCTCTTCACTATACTGATGTCATAGTATGAATTGCCATTCTATTATTTTAGTTACAAGACAAAAAGCAGCCAACCGGTATGCAAACAAAATACATTTATACTAATGATATTTCTTTTACAATTTGACTCCATAACTCCACTCCAAGCCTCCAGTCCATGAATTTTTCGGCGCCATTCTATAGCCCTAAGCCGTTCAAGCATCTAAATTTGAAATAACTGTGGCAGACTGTGGTGTGTTTTATTGGAAGTCAACTTATATATTTAAAGACGACAGACGACATACGAAGGGAGTTATTCTTTTTTACCGATTTAAAATTAGAGAAAAATATTTTCTAAGTATAAAAGATATTTAATACCTTCTTTTAGGATAATCTGGTCATAACAGCCTCTATCGTAATCAAGGTTGATAAACTGGAAGGAGATGACAAGTCCTAGACTCGGAGGAACTGGTGTAAACGTATAATTGCAATCCATGTTGCTAAAAAATAATTTCACTTGTTTTAATAATATGCAGTCATACATCTGATATAAATATTTACAAATTACATGATTTTGTACTAGGATCTCGAATTTACTTCACAATTTTGATAGGATTTTTGATATTATAACGAGTACGAAAATGCAATGAAAATTTGGGGTCACGAGTAAAATGGCTAATATAGAAAAAAGTGTAATATACATGTAACAAGTATATTTTGTTCAAAGAGTGAAATGAATTCAAAATTCAACTACAAAATATTTTGAAATAAGATCAGTTTTTCTTTGGTTTTCCTTTACACTTTGACGCCAACGTTTAGTAGGTGAGACCCCAGGTACTTCTTTCGTATACAGAGCAGCCTTACTTAAATTTACCACAGGGTATCTAACTTAATTTCAGCCACACAACTTCAAGCGTGCATTTTATCAATCATAAACCTACTTCAATAAGACATAGTTTACCTATAGAGACTTTTCTCCACTGAAATATGTCATACAAGACGTCCTTGATCAGGCCTCTTTATTGTAAATGATTAACTTATTTCTCGAAAATTACCTCACAATTTACAAGGGATAAAAGAACTCCCGGCTTTTGGTATAGTGTACGATAAAACCAGAGATTTCAGAACAAAATCAGAAGTCTCTGGTTTTATCTTAAACTATACCACCGAGGCATGAATGAGTGGTTGAAAGCACGAGTGTTGGGATAAAATTTTAAACAAAGGGACGATCTTTTTCTTTTAAAAAACAAGGTCACTCAACATCAGCCAGATGAGGCATGATTTTCTTTAACTGTGAGTTAAAGGGGGAGGAAATGAGCACCTCCTTCTAATTTACCTGGTCTTAGAACCCCTGTCAATCATCTGAAATTAAGCCTGGGATTGGATACTTTGATTTGATTGACATTTAGTTTGCTGCTGTTGTGTATATCTTGTGTACCTTCTTTGGAGATCGTACCGACCATCGAATTAATTTTCAGGCTTTTGATGTTTTAATGCCTACCGCACATGCCAACGTGATAAAGAAGCAATCAAATCGTTTTTTTTTTTTAATTCATAAGAATATGCCATTAATATAATCAATCTATCAAATAATTAATTAAATGACAAGAAAAATCATGGCTATTTAATATATATTATAAATTAAATTTTAAAAGGGAGGGTTTCATATTACATTATATCGATTACAATCGATAATTTTAATTTCCTTGCCAAAACATGAGTTAACGTACATTTATTCCTCCACTAATTAACAAAATAAACCGACCTGCGTTTGAGGCTAGTATAATGGAATTAAATAAAATGTTTTTTTTTAAACAAGTATGACAACATTGTAACATTGTTCCGACATGAGTCAAGCGAATTTATATTTATAAGACAAACCTGTACGTGTCGCTTTTCTTCGAGACATGGTGACGAAGTTACTGTATAATAAGAAGTTTTAGAAGAGAAATTACTCGGAATATAACATCTTGCTTTGTATTTACAGTAATGTTTGAAATTACTAATGAATCCCGAAAGGAAAAAAACGATGCAAATGAATCCATTCCCGTTTCATAGCTGTCGGGGAATCAACCCCGGTCCGAAGCTTTAGCCATTTTTACCGACTATGCGTTATGGAAAAATCAAGAAGGGTTTATCTTAAAAAGATATTTATTTAGACAATAATATTTCTACTTCAACATTTTATTCTCAAAACATCGTTTCTAAATTTCATTGTTTTGCGTAGACGATATGTAATTTGAATTACTTCCCTTCTTGTAACCAGATTATAACGACAGATTTTGGTGCTAAATGTATTTTCGTTATGACACTTAATTAACAAACACACTTTGTATAAAAAATGTCGAATTATTAAATATATCAATTATTTTTAAAGAAAGAAAATGAGAAGGATTCTGTCTGCAACCAAAAAAAATGCTTTATTTCGCATTTCAATTCATGAGCTAAACTTGAAAAAACGGCCTCGGTTTACAAAGTCGTGGGAAAACCAATACAGGTATTACACTCAGGTAACATCCTGTGTACATAGGTTGTGTACACAAGTCAGCGTCGTTCCCTCGGGGCTTCTCAGCCGCTTTGATTAAGCTCCACCCCACACCAAACTTACCTGAGGAAAACCGTACGGTTAAAAACCTCGGCCTTTTAGCTCCACCCCACACCAAACTTACCTGAGGAAAACCGTACGGTTAAAAACCTCGGCCTTTAACATATTTCCGGTACATGTATTGTTGTCATACACTAGTGCTACCGTCCAGCAATTAGCGTTGCTATGAATCTCATTGTGATCACCCTTATAAGCATACATTTTGTACATGTACTTGTGCTTATTCAAATTATCTACATTAAAAAACAAGAGGCCCAATGATCTTAACGGTCACCGGACCATAAAACATTGCTGTAAAGGATCCATATAAATATAAAACAACATTAATAGAATTTCAGAATTCTCGTAAAATACGCTTGCTTATAGTAACGTGTTAGACCAAGTGATCCCCTTGGCATCAAACTTGGTTTTCCTAAGTCTTACAGGGATGATGATGAATATACAAACATTAGAGCCCCGCCCTAACACAAGAACCCCGACCCAGAGACCCTGAAATTCACAATTTTAGGAGAGGCATCCTTCCTTATCTTAGATATGTGAATTTACATATAAATATCATTGGTTTTATAAATACCCAGATGCAGAGAAGAAGATCTTACAAGAATTTATGCATTTTCACTATATACTAGTAATTAATAAAGCCCCACCTTAACAACAGAACCCCTGGCCCCAGGGCCATAAATCCACAATACATTTAATGTTCTTTAAAATTGTGAATTCTTAAATTAATATCTTTCATATTTATTGTATTGGGACGATTTAAATGAAGGCCGATATGGTCTGTCGGCGCACGACCAAAATTCGGAATAATTTACGCATATATTAACTACAGCTTACTCCACTTATATTGAACTCGCTTACTTTGAAATTCCGCTTATTTTGAAATAGAAATAAATTCCCAGTTTTTTGCCTCTCATATTCTTTGCATTAAAATAACGGTTATATTGAAATCGGATATATTAAAATTTCGCTTATATTGAAGCCACTTAAAGGTCCCCACAGGTGATAATGAGTTGTTTTCATAACGGTTATATTGAAGTACTCCCTGGCGGCTGTCGTTACGCTTGCTGACAGTAATTATGTCTGATTGACCAGTTGATATACACAGGTGTGAATAATTAAGTTTACACATTATGTTTTTTATACTGCATGCCCTTACGAAATAAAATTCTTCATTGTTAAATTCTTTGCGTCCATGTATACAATACGGACATATTCACCCCTACTAATGTTATTGTGATTTAAATTCAAGACACGTGGTTTAGGTTGATCTATTCAAAGGTTATAGGGTAGAACCGGTTTTTATAAATAAAATTGGCAGTAAACATGATATTGCTATAGCCTGTTTCTTTTAAAAACATGTCCTGTAATAAATGTTCCCAGACCTCTCTGAAAGACTTTAATGATTTTCAACAGAAAAAGGGTGGCTAAAGGAGGCGGTTTTAAAATAACAATATATCTTGTACTTTTCGGCAAAAATAAGAGCTCACTAGTGACTGATTCGCTGGTACAAAATGTGCAATGTCATCTACACTTACAAACCTTTGTTTGCCTTATATGGCTATTGTTATGAATGCGCACAGAGGATCTTACCACGATCAACTGACCAATCGTTGAATGAATAGCAGTTCGTTTACGCCAAAAACATGTTTACATTTTACTTCGAACACGTAGTTCAGGTCAATCTACGATCATGTTAATGGACTGCAAAATAAAAAAAAATGTTTTTACGAACAATTTACAAAGATAAGAAAATATGAAAGATGTTACGGGCGTTTTTAATTCGTTGTTAAATAGAAAAAATGTTTAATAAAAGGGTAAGGAAAACGAGCAGCATCTCTTATGCATTTAAATGGACAAAACTTTGTTTACGTTTGTGATCACGTGTTCGGCCAGGGAATTCACCTAGCAATTTTATTCACCGATAGTACAACAAAGGAATTAAAACAGACGCAAATCGTTTTTGCAGTGACTTTCAGAAACATAGACTTCCGCCGTATATTTAACAAATGAATTGTTTGTCATTATAAGCATGAAAATAATATTTTTAAAAATGCTTTTCATTTACCATAAGATTTTCCTTTTTTCAAGTGTAAAATTCCTGTAGTATTCGTAGTAACCCATAATGCAATACTCATTCAGCTCATTGGTCAGTTAAAATCATGCTGGTGCCTCATTTGCTAATCTGACGCCAAAAAATATAGTCCCGGTTCCCATGCAAAAAATATTTGTCAAAAAAGAAATTTTAATTCATGACTGCAGAAAATTGTATTTATTATAGAGAATACTTATGTAAGTTTGAATGAATGTAAAAGAGATCGATTGATTGAAGTACATTTCTACATATATTGTCAGCTGATTCTAAGGGGGGGGGGGGGGGTGAAAACTGAAACGCAACTTACATAACTTCTATGTTTACTATGCCTCCACGTGCTAGTCACTTCCTAACCACATTTCCGTGAATAATTTACCCTATCTCGCTGAAGTCTCGCTAACTCTCGCCAGAGCCACTGCCAGAGCTACTCTGAACTCATCGGGTTTTATAATTTGCAGAACACCGAAAAATAAAAGATTCCGAACACATTAGTAGGGGTGATATTGAGGCAAAGAGCTAAACATAATATAGTAACCCCCACAGGTCTAGGAAAAAAACATAACTTTGAAATTAAATACGTACTGTTAATGGCTATTGATATGCCTTAATTCGAAATAACTAAGGGATTAACCCGAGTGCGATCGGGGAATAATAATGAGGTTGAAGATGGTCTTTTCAATAAAACAGAAATAAAAAAAATATTTAAACTTTCAAGGACTCATATTCTATGTAATCTGTTCACTGTTATAGATAAACGATGACAACATTAATTTGTTCGGGTTTGTTCTTCTTTCAAATTA